TTTCCTGCTTGCCTCCCCTATCCTATGCTCCTCCTTCTAGGGTTCCTTCTTTTAGTAGTTAGAGACAGTCTTTGGTGATGTCTTTAACTCATTTGTGTTATTGCAGAAAATTTTGTAGGGACGCAAATAGCACATGTGATCTGATCTATATGAGTAGGATGAACACAGACTCACCACTAAGTCCTGGCAAAGCCAGTACCAAGGACATCCCTTGACACTTGAGATTGGTAACTAGGGAGGGAAGCTTAACCTTACTCACCAGAACTGACCTTAAGGCCCTTGATGTGTTCCCAGGGTGTGGAGGTATAATGAGGAGAAGCAGCTAAGAGACAGGCCCAACATGTTTAGGGAGCATCCTGATTGCTAGGGTTGATCTGTAAGGGCTGATGACTTAAAGGAGGCCATATAGCCTAGAGTGACCTCTAGATTCCCATTTTAAACATTGTACATTGAAGTCAGGTTTGGTGGGGCTATTGGCAGATGGTCATTCCTGTAGTCCTTCGTGAACAGTTGTCTGCACACTGAGGCTAGGAAGTAGGTAGTAGGAAGCCTCACATGCTGGGCAGGCAGGACCTCTAGCCTTCTGGGTGCTTGACTATTCTTCCTTTAATACTAGGGACTCTGTCTCTGCCACACTTCAAACCTGTCATATCCTCATCCTCCCCCTCCTGTCATGTGACTTTACTGGGTTGCCTTGAACTCCTAGGCGTAAATGATTTCCTGGCCCAGCCTCCTGCATGGCTAAGACTACAGGTTTACACCACCGCACCCTCTCCTGGAACTGTCATTTCTCTGGAGCCTTTTGGTCCCAGTTTCTCTCTCTCTCTCTCTCTCTCTCTCTCTCTCTCTCTCTTTCTTTCTTTCTTTCTTTCTTTCTTTCTTTCGAGACAGGGTTTCTCTGTGTAGCCCTGGCTATCTTGGAACTCACTCTGTAGACGAGGCTGTCTTTGACAGAGATCTGCCTGCCTCTGCCTCTAGAGTGCAGAGATTAAAGGTGTGTGCCACCACTGCCCAACTGATTCCACTTTCTTAAGTTGAAGCCTAACCCTGGAACTTTGCAGGAGTGAACCCTGTTTTGTGAGCTGTTGAGAAGGGCTGGCCTGGTGCAGGAATGTTGGCTGAGAGTGGTGCCCATTACTAGGTCTTGTTCTTAGCTGCTCAGACAGGTAGAAGTGGATGGAGCCAGGAGACTTGGGGTGTAGTTGCTCTGGACACCTGGAAAGCAAGTTCTCAGGAGCTCAGTGCCTGAGAGAAGACATGACCTGACCCCCAGACTTGGACTCCTAGATGGCCTTCAAGTCAGAGCAGCTCTGTTAGGGGTCCTGGCTTCTAGCTGCAGTTGGCACACTGAGGGGCCAGGCTTCTTCCCCAGCTCTGCCTTGGATGCGAGAGGTGGGTCTACACTCAGAATGCCTTTCTATAGTCTGGAGCAGAGCTCTACTCGATACCAGATCTGGAGGCTTGGGGCCTTCCCACCAGACCTACATGTTGAGGTGAATTTAGTTTAGCAGGAAGTCCTCCCGGCAACGAGAGGCATGCTTAGGGGAACTGGAAATGTCTGTGGTCTCTGTCCACAGCAGAGAAGCATTGTGGGTGGAATTCCCCAGACCCATGTGATGTAGAAGGCCCCTGTGGGTGCCTCCCCACCCTACACATGCCCTGCTCTATTCTCCCCAACTCTGTGCATTTCCTAGATCAGAGGCTCTCAAACTGTGGTCAGGTGTGTTAAACATTCAAGGCTCAGGACCCAGCCTGTCCTGATGACCCTGGGTGGGGCTAGCAGCCTGTCTCACCAGCTGACTGGAATGCTCTGACATTGAGTGTTGCTACCTTAGGTGACTTGAAATGAGGCAAGAGCTTAGCTGCCTCTCAGCCAGCCTGGTTCCCTCCCTGCTTGGGACAGCAGAATGATCCTGGCCAACCCCAAAAACCCAGCGGTTTTTTGAGGGGGAGGTTGTTTGCTACTGGTGATGTGGTTTTGTGATTATGTAGTTTTGTTTTGAGACAAGGTCTCACTATGTTACCAAGGCAGGCCTTGAACTCATGACCCTTTTGCCTTTGTTTCCCAGTTGTGATTTCATGTAGGTACCACCATACTAGGCTAGTCTAGAACTCGACACCTAGTCAAAGCTGACCTTGAACTCCTGATCCTCATTTCTCTACCTCCCCAGTGCTAGGGTTATAGGCATGGGCCACCATACCCTGGTTTGGCTAAACGTTTTATTGTGAGATAATTGTAACTGTATCCAGTTGTAAGAAATATCACAGAAAGATTCCTTGTATCTCTACCCAGTTTCCTCCAGATGGTAACATTTTGCAAAACTGTAGTAAAACATCACTCTGGGAGCAGTACATTGCTACAGTCAGAAGGAGCCTTTCTGTTGTGGATTTATATTCACAGCCATCTTCCTTCTGCTGAAGTTATAGACACGGAAAAATCATCTTCCCCACCCATCATTTAATTCCTGGCCACCATTAACCTGTTTACAGTTTTCCTAATTTTGGCAGATGATGGAATCATACAACATAGCACCAGTAATTGGCCTTTTGTATTCAACAGTTTCTGGGAGATTCATCTAGAATAGGCTGTAGTGTGTTAAGAGTAGTGTGTTCCTTCTGGCATCTGGACTGTGTGTGTCCTGCACTGATGTAACTATTCTTTCATTGAAGGACACCTGGGCAGTTTCTAATCTTTGGCTGTGACATTCATATGTAGGTTGGTCTGTAAGCATAAGTTGACATCTCTGAGCTACATCCCCCATAGTAGAGTTACTGGGTTGTACTGTGGTAGCTGCAAGCTCGGATTTATAAGAAATGGCCAGACTTTTCCAGAGTAGCTGTGCCTTTCATTTTACATTCTCATGGGCAACGCATGTGAGGTCTAGTTTCTCCTTGCCAGCATTTTATGATGTCACTTTTTAATCTTAGCTGTTCTTCTTTAATCTCTATTTTCCTGACAAGAAGCACTTTTCCTTCGGTTATTTGCCATTTATGTTTTATTTAAAGAAGTCTATTCATGTGATTTGCTGATTTTCTATTTGGATTTTGTTTTAATAATAATTTAAGCTGAGCAGTTGTAGTGTACGACTTTAATCCCAGCACTGGAGAGTCAGATGGATCTTTGTGAATTTGAGACCAGCTTGGTCTACAGAGCAAGTTCCAGAACAGCCAGGGCCACACAGAGAAATCCTGTCACAAAAACAATAATAATAGTAATAATCGTTTAATTTGTTATGTACTGTAGGGGCCACCTCTTTTGGAACAGGTGTAAGCATTTCTTCCAGCATTTATCATATCTTATAATCCTTTTATCAAATCTTCCACAGAAAAGTTTTTGATTTTATTTTATGGATCAAATTTAGATTTGGTATCAAAGCTAAAAACTTTACTTAGCCTAGATCCTGTCGAGTTTCTTTTACCTTTTTCTAGACATTTTATAGTTTTGTATTTTCTATTTAAACCTAGGAGCAAGTTCATTTTGGTATATGGTGTGAGTTGGTTGTTGTAGTAGTGAGACTCACACCCAGAGCATAACATGTGCAAACACAAAACAAGTGTTCTGCCATTAAAGCTACATCTAGAGATGCTCCCACCCCATCATATTTTGGGTCTGAAGTTTTTTTGTTTACTGGTAGAACTTTAATTGCTCCTGCACCACTTGTTGGAGATGTCCTTCCTCCGCTGAATTGCTTTGGTGTCTCTGGGAGTATTTGTGTGGCTATTTCCCATCTCTTCTGTCTTCTATTAAGTCATGCTTCTGTCGTGATTCCTGTTACCTATTTCCTGACATCCACATGGTTGTTCTAGACCCCACATGTCAGTTTTTTGTTGTTGTTGTTGTTTTGTTTTTGTTTTGTTTGTTTGTTTTTTGGTTTTCTCAAGACAGGGTTTCTCTGTGTAGCCTTGGCTGTCCTGGAACTCACTCTGTAGACCAGGCTGGCCTCGAACTCAGAAATCCACCTGCCTCTGCCTCCTAAGTGCTGGGATTACAGGCGTGCGCCACCACTACCCGGCTCACATGTCAAGTCTTGAGAGAAGTTCTTCCCACCAGGTTACTCTGCCAGGATCCAGCAGTAGCAACATAGATGCCAGCCCCTGCTGCCAAGCTGGCACATCTTCATCTGCCTAGGCAGGACTTCACCTGGGCTAGAATCAAGTCTAGTTTGCCTCTGAGGGCTAGGGGACAGATCCTGTTGATGGGGTTTCTGTGCCCCTGATTAGTTCTCTTCCCTGTGGGAAGGACCCCTGGGAGCCTAAGGCTATCCAGGCAGGGCCAAGTCACAGTCCCTTTTCTCTCTTTCTCTCACCTGTTCTGGGGCTTTGTATGTGTAGCCCTGCCCTGCAGAGCTTCCAGGTCTGTACTGAGCCCTGAGTGGTAAGCACAAAGAAATGTTTGTTCCAGAGCTGAGTGGGTACTGGGTTACCCCTTGCTCCTCTAGACAAGAGGCTTGTGAGTACTGAGTGGCAAGATGGAAATCACCAGATTTGAGCATGTTTCAAAAGACACGTAGCAATCACACAGTCCCTACTATGAGAAGGTTTCAGACAGGAGCACCCAGGCCTTCCCAAGGGTCCCCTGAAGAAGTGCCCAACACATGGCTGTGTGACCCTCTGGTAAGACCAAGCAGAGGTAGGCATGCATATGGTTCAGGGTATATTAGGACCTGAGCAGATGAGGCACTGAGAAGGGCAGTGAGCGGTAGTCTTCTGGTATCAGCCACTGGGCTTAACCTGCTGTAGCCTCCTCTGCCTACCAGCCACTGCTAGGGTTCCTATTGTGTAGATGTGCTTTTTAGCATGCTCTCACTTGTGGATATCCCCATACACACCTGTTGTGCTGTGTGTCACTGTCATGTTGGGAACTCACAAGTGTCACAGATGGGTCTGTGGGAGGCAAGGCAAGATGCCCACTTGACCCTACACATGCCTGCTCCCCTCAAGTTGTCTGGATCAGCTTGAAGGTCCTATGGTCTGAAGCCCTTCTGCCACCCTCTTGATAGGAAAGAGCTGCCAGCCAGGGGCTGGGTTGGTGCCTGTGTCCTGTGTCAGCCGTGTCGGTACAGCCGCCCTAAGGCCAAGCTGGTGGATGGACTGCTGTTGTACATCTGCTTCCTGACTTTCCCAGCCTCCGCCTCAAGAACACTTAGGCTCTGCTCCGACTCAGGTCTCTGGCTCCCCTGAATGGGTGCTACCCTATTGCCTACCCTCTGACCTTCACTCCAGGGCCCGCTGAGCGTTCTTGGCTTTATATGGTTATAGTGTGGGGAAGGGTATGTGGGAAGTACTGGTTATCAGAAAGCCCTTTTCCAGGGTTGGTCCAATGGCTTAAGATGACAGGGCCCTTGTTAGAGTTGCTTCACACTTCATTTTGGGCTGATATCTGCCAACACTACTGCCCTGGCTCTGTCCATGTTACCATGAGCATCTAAGCTCCTGCCCTCTCCCTCCTGTCCAGCAGCCGGAGCAGCAACTCCCAGATAAGTTCCAGCACATTGGGCCTGTAGGCTGCTCCATCACCAATGAACCCCATGAACCCCATGAAACCTGCCCTGCCCCCTGCACCACACGGGTGAGTGTGGGCTTCTGTGGCCTGCCTCTAGCAAGCCCTGGGCCTTCTGACCCTGCCTTACCAGCTGCTCTCTCTATAGTGATGGTTCATTTGCATATGAGTCTGTGCCTTGGCAACAAAGTGCCACTCAGCCAGCTGGGTCACTGTCCGTGGTCACTACTGTGTGGGGAGTTGGCAACGCAACTCAGAGCCAGGTGAGTGTGCACCAGGGCCGTCCTCCCCCAGCCCTCAGGATCCAGAGCCTCGGTGGTGCCTCTGCCATCTTAGGGCTCCAAGAACAAGAGACCGAGAGGACTGGCTGAAGCACAAGGATGGGGCTTCCTGAGGGTCTCAAGTCACTAGGTGCCTTTCTTCTGTACTATCATGGGATGCCTTCCCCTCGCTCCATAGAGCCCTCCAGTCAGAACTGTAGACAGCCGCTCCTCCCACCCCAGATCCTCCCCCATTTGCTGGGCATCTCTTGAGATCTAGCACTTTAGAGCTGTGTCTTGAAGACAGTGGTTTGGCTGGTCCTCTTTGGTGACTCCCACTTCCTTGTAGGTTTTGGGTAACCCCATGGGCCCTGCAGGAAGCCCCCCTGGTGGCTCCATGATGCCTGGTGTGGCAGGTGGCAGCTCTGCCTTGACCTCCCCGCAGTGCCTGGGACAGCAGGCGTTTGCTGAAGGCGGTGCTAGCAAGGGCTACGTACAGCAAGGCGTGTATGGCCGAGGGGGCTACCCTGGGGGATCCAGTTTCACTACTGGGTAAGCAGGGCCCCTCACCTGGCCAGTGATTTGAAGCCATCAGCCTGGCAGTCCTGCAGAAGGGTTGGATGTTGCCTGCTCCTCCTCCACTGTCTCTAGTAGCTACAGTAGAAGTTCTACTAAGAATGGAAGAATGGGCTTCCCTGAGTGCTGTGTGTCCCAGAGCAAGCCTTTGTAGACAGTAAGGCAGTCCTGTATCACCTACAGGTATGCAGGTGCCCCTGGAGGCCTGGGGCTCCCCACACATGCAGCACGGCCCTCAACTGACTTCACACAAGCAGCAGCTGCAGCTGCCATGGCTGCTGCTGCAGCCACGGCCACAGCCACAGCTACAGCCACTGTGGCTGCCCTGCAAGAGAAGCAGAGCCAGGAGCTAAGCCAATATGGAGCGGTAAGGCCCCCTCAAGCTCCTTCCATGTGGTGGCAGTTATGGATGGGCTTGGTGGATTTGGCAAGGCAGCAGGTTCTGGAGACAAGTGTGGACTGTGCTGGGATTTCGTGAGACCAATGAAAGAGGACCATGGCAGCAGTAGAATCTGACCATTCCTCTTTTTTCTCTTCTCAGATGGGGACTGGGCAGTCTTTTAACAGCCAGTTTCTGCAGCATGGAGGTCCTCGAGGACCCAGTGTACCTCCTGGCATGAACCCTTCGGGCATGGGAGGAATGATGGGCCCCTCTGGCCTATCCTCCATGGCCATGAATCCTACCCGGGCAGCAGGCATGACACCCTTATATGCAGGACAGCGACTGCCTCAGCATGGGTACCCTGGGCCTCCCCAGGGGCAGCCACTGCCTCGACAGGGCGTCAAGAGAGCTTACTCAGAGGTGAGTATCTTGCTGGGTCCTAGATGATGATTCAGCTACCCAAGTACCCTCCGAGTTCTGACAAGGGCGGTATCTGGAATGAGAGAGGACTGCCTCTGCTCAGCAGGGTCATATACACGCACGTGCCCTCACATACACATGTATACGTGCATGGCATCCCCTTGATACCTCTCTTTCCCTGTGCATCTACTTCTCAGGTGTATCCTGGACAGCAGTATCTGCAAGGAGGCCAGTATGCAGCCAGCACTGCCCAGTATGCTCCTGGCCCTGGGCAGCCCCCTGGCCCTGCATCCTCCTACGGAGGACACAGACTACCCCTGCAACAGGGTATGGCCCAGTCCCTGTCTGCCCCTGGCCCTGCGGGACTGCATTACAAGGTAAGGCTGGCTCCCGTGGGCTGGGTTGAATGCCACAGGACTCAATGGGCCTTTAGGCAGATTGGCCAGGGAATCCTAGTCAGTACAAGAACAGCTCTCAGGTTGACTGGTCTGGTTCTGTGGTATGTACGTACATACATACCCACCCGTGGATAATTGGTGTAGTGAACAGCAAATAGGCTTCTAAGCCATTCTGACAACCTTTGTGAAGCTGTGCATTTCCCTCCCTCCCTCCTCCACTCTGCATCCTGCCTGACCTCTGTCTAAAAGACAGGCCCTTGTGGGCAGTGCACCCTGTCTGGGCATGAGGATGAGCAAACCTCACTTGGAGCCTGGATAGGCAGGATGATGGGGCTAAGAAGCGGAAAGGCAGAAGGGGCGTTGTGTGCACTTACCTTTCAGCCCTTCCAACTTGGAAGGTCACTCCTGTTTCATGTAGTGTTAACTTTTTGCATTATAAAATCAGTAATGTTTCTTCAGAATTATGGGAGGTGTAGAAAATGCACAGATCAGACCTCTACAGGGTCTAGGATTGAGCTTAGGGGGTCAGTGCAGGGCAGGCCAGAGCCCCAAGCACACTCAGTTTTCTCTCCCACAGCCCACAGAGCAGTTCAACGGGCAGGGCGCCAGCTTCAACGGGGGCGGCATCAGCTACAGCCAGCCTGGCTTGAGTGGGGTACGGGGCTTGGCAGGGGTGGATGGGCTGGGAGGCTCACTGGGTGGAAAGAGGGTACCCAGGCAGGAAGAAGTGTAGGGACCCTGCCAAGTACTCCAGGGCCGCCTCCTGCCCACCTGTGTTCTGATGGTGTCCATGGGTGCTCCATGAACAGACTGCCCTCCCACCCTGCCATTCTGCTTTGACTGTTTATGCTCAACCTCTACAGCCTTCCCGCTCCATCCCTGGTTACCCCAGCTCCCCACTGCCGGGGAATCCCACACCACCCATGACGCCTAGCAGCAATGTTCCCTACATGTCCCCAAGCCAGGAAGTCAAGTCTCCTTTCCTGCCTGACCTCAAGCCAGGCCTCACCTCCTTGCACCCATCACCCTCTGGTGAGTGTTTATTTTAAGGACAACATCCACCTGAGGTTTCAGTAGCTTGGGTAATGAAGACTCAACAGAGTCCTAGAGGGAGCTTGGAAAACCAGGGACAGTTGCTGGATCCCAAGAAAAGCCTAATGCCCCAGCTTCATAAGAGCCAGAAGCTTAGATCAGATCCTCCTGTTTTCCATTGTGACCCTGTCAAGATCTGTCTGTGAATCCAAAATGAACCCTCAGCAGCTGTCCTGCTATGAACCCTTACTTCAGGGAGACTTCTGTGGAAGAAGCTAGCATCCTAAAACCTTCAGATGAACAATAGGGTTGGCCATTCTGAATGTGCTTTCTAGATTGGAACCATGTCCTGTGACTGTGTTCAGAATGTGATTCAGACTGTGCTTGATAACCAAGGCAGGATAAAACATGCAGACTGTGGGCCCAAGTTTTAAGAAGAAACACTAATGGGAGTTCCATTTACAGGAGTATCATCCTTTCCAGAGTGTCTGGCCGGGGTTGAGTTAGGGTTTGGGACTCTAGGTGCAGAAGTGTTCTTGAGGGGCAAGATCCCTTGGCAAGGTACCAACTCATGGCCAGCATACTTTTGCCCTCAGGAAGTGTCCCCTGTGATGAGTTGCGCCTGACCTTCCCAGTTCGAGATGGGGTGGTTCTGGAGCCCTTCCGCCTACAGCACAACCTGGCTGTGAGCAACCATGTCTTCCAGCTCCGAGATTCTGTCTATAAGACCCTGATGCTGAGGTGAGTCTTACTACCATCCTGCCCCTGGGCCCTGGCTGCACAGTGTGGGCTCCTATCATCTTCATCCTTACTAGGCCTGACCTGGAGCTGCAGTTCAAGTGCTACCACCATGAGGACCGGCAGATGAACACCAACTGGCCAGCATCTGTGCAGGTCAGCGTCAATGCCACACCTCTCAGCATCGAGCGTGGAGACAACAAGACCTCGCACAAGCCCCTCTACCTGAAGCATGTGTGCCAGCCAGGTCGCAACACCATCCAGATCACTGTCACCGCCTGCTGCTGTGTGGGTAGCCTGTGGGGCTGTGGGCAGGGTTTGGGCTGGGGCCGGCTGACATTCCCCTGGATTATCTCTCCTAAGGGGTTTGAGAGCTTGTGGCTGAGGGTCTTTATCCTTGAGAAGCAAGATGTTGCTTTTCTTTCTATTTTAATTATGTCAAAGAAATCAAGCTGTACAGAAAGCTCATGGAAGATGTTCTGCACTGGTCTGGGCCTCACCAGGTTCCAGTGAGCAGGATCCCAAGTAGACCTTGAGCTGCAGGCCACCAGGAGCCATACTAGTTGAGGTGGCTCAGAGATAGGGTGACTCAGAAGCCAAATCATGTCAGGAGTTTCAGGGACTTGAGGAGATTGTGTTTTGACAGAAAACTAGACAGTAGTTGAGCAATACCAAAGTGCCCTGCAGAGGGCTGAGACAGTGAGGTAACAAAATAAAAAAGCCCTTGCCTGTGTGTCAGCACTTAGGAGGGCCTAGCTGCTGGGAAGATGGCTGGCTTGGCTTTCTTCTCTCTGTGCCCCACTCACTATGTCGCATCCCTCCCTCTGTTGCAGTCCCACCTCTTCGTGCTGCAGCTGGTGCACCGTCCGTCTGTCCGCTCTGTGCTGCAGGGCCTCCTCAAGAAGCGCCTCTTGCCAGCTGAGCACTGCATCACCAAGAGTGAGTGCTCACTATTCCTCGGTCACCTGTGCTGTGCCCAGGCTAATCCCTGCCCTGTGGCCCAGAGGCCATTTCCTTTCAGACTGCTGGTTCTTCCCCAGGGGCACTGGTTACCTCCAGGCTACTCCTGAGAACCTTTGATTGAGCAGGACTGGGTCCCTGGTTAGCTCACGGTATTGGGTACCTTGACTCAAGTCCTTTCCCCTGTCAATGTCAGTAAAGCGGAACTTCAGTAGCGGCACCATCCCCGGCACCCCTGGGCCCAATGGAGAGGATGGGGTGGAGCAGACGGCTATCAAGGTGTCCCTGAAGTGCCCCATCACCTTCCGCAGGATTCAGCTCCCAGCCCGTGGTCACGACTGTCGCCACATACAGGTGTGTGGTCCCTGTAGACATTTCTTGCCCTTAAGATATTTTGAGCTTGTAAAGAAACCAGAAAGTTGCCTCAGTATTGACTGGAATTTAGGTGGAAACTGAGAAACTGCTTAGTAATATTAAGAAGAAAGAATAGTTAGGTGTGTGTGTGTGGAGAGGTAACCAGGAAGGGAATATCATTTGAAATGTAAATGAATAAAATTATTAAGAAAGAACAGGACACGGGATCCTGGGGAAGGGTTCCACATCCCACGTCCACATTTACCCAACTGAAATGCACACTGGTGTCCATAGCTGTAGCCTGTAAACGCTTCAGAGAAAGACATGTTTACCAGCAATTTAGAGAATTATTTTGAGCCTGGTATGATGATCTATACCTGTAATCCCAGATCTCAGGATCTGAGGCAGTAGGATCTTAAGTGGAAAGCCAGTCTGGGATACATAATGACAATCTGTCTCAGGGTTTTTTTTCCCCCTTGAGATAGGACCTCAGATAGCCCAGGCTGAGCCCAGGCTGGCCTCAGACCCACTGTGTAGCTGGGATGAACCTGAACTTCTGATCATCTTGCCTCAAGCTCCCAGCACTGAGATGGCAGGCAGACACCACCTTACTCAAGTGTTGGAAAGACAGTATTCTCAGCCTCATCCTCTTTGTCGGATGGGACCCCAGTATCTCAGCTGGCAGACCAAAAAGACAGACCCAGCACAGGGGCCTGGCCTCCTTGCTCCACCCCCACCCCCCAGATTAGTTTTGCTCCTTTGAAACATAATTTTTCCTACATATGTACATGTTTGTTTGTGACATGCAGCTCCAGCTGTCCTGGAAAGCTCTTTATGTACAGCAGTCTGGCTTCAAACACAGAGGTCTACCTGCCTCTGCCCACCGAACAGTGGGGTTAAAGGCATGTGACACCCCAGCCTGTCTTGGGTGAAGAGATTCCTTATGGATACTTGCTTTCGTTCCAGGGCATCACAGTGCTGGGAAAGGCTGCTTGGGGTATCCCAAACTGGGTCTATTAAAGACAGTGCTGCAGTAAAAACCTGATACCTTAAAGATATACCTAAATAAGTCAACTTTCCTGAAGACTGTCATCACAACCCTGTCCACTGAGGTGGTGAGAATGACCTCTCCCTGTCTCTCCACAGTGCTTTGACCTGGAGTCATACTTACAGCTCAACTGTGAGCGGGGGACCTGGAGGTGCCCGGTGTGCAAGTAAGTCAGTCTTGTTTATGATGAGGGGAGAGCTGCTGGGGTTCCTCAGAGGGTGAAACACGAAATAGCATCAAGAAGGGCTCCCTAACACAGACCAGAGCAGCCCATCTCAGGGCAGAAAGCGCCTACTAGTTGGCCTTGCACAGCATCCCCTCACACTGGCCTACCATAGTGGTTTATCCAGGGTCACTTTACATAGGGTCACCTGATACATGCCATGCTGTAAACACAGGGGCCCTTACAGAGTCATTCCACATAGGTGATAGAGCTGGACTAAACAGTCTCCTTTGCTTTCTACAGCAAGACAGCATTGCTGGAGGGCCTGGAGGTGGATCAGTATATGCTAGGCATCCTGATTTATATTCAGAAGTAAGTGTCTTCTTCCTGCTACCCCTGCATCTGTGGCCACCAGAGGGCAGTCCTGGAGTGAGTGTGATCTTCAGAGCCTTTTCCCACAGCGAAGCAGCTCCACTCCCGGCCAGTGCCTACTGCACATGTGCTAAGTGCCCTGAAGGTTTCTGGGTAGAAGAGTGTTTGAGCAGAAGATCTGGTTGGAAGCTTCCTGACAGCTGAATAGGGCAGCAGGTGCTGGGCGGGGGGGCAGGTGGCAAATGACCAGTACCCATCTGTCCCTGCTTAGCTCAGACTACGAGGAGATCACCATTGACCCCACGTGCAGCTGGAAGCCAGTGCCTGTGAAGCCTGACCTGCACATCAAGGAGGAGCCAGACGGGCCAGTGCTGAAGCGCTGCCGCACTGTGAGCCCTGCCCATGTGCTCATGCCCAGTGTGATGGAGATGATTGCAGCCCTGGGCCCTGGCGCTGCCCCCTTTGCCCCACTGCAGCCCCCTTCGGCCCCTGCCCCCAGCGACTATCCCAGCCAGGGTGAGTATGGCATACCCAGGCTTGAACCTCGGGTGACCCTGGGCAAATGACACATCCTCTCCAGATCAGCCTCCTTGCCTGTGGCAGTGTTGCAGCCACACAGTTACAAGTACCGCGCTGAGGATGCCTGCCCTTCATGTCCCATCTCTGGCATGGTGGGGAAGTCATGGTGGACCATGACTTAGGAAGCAGGGTAGTGAGGCTTCCACCTTCTCTGCTCTTCACTGAAATACTTCATTTGGAGTGTCCGTCAAGGACCCACACTGCATATGTGTTGCACTTGGTTGTGGTGGGTCCCTTTCCATCTCTTGAGATTTCCCTCCTCCAAGTGCCCAGGTTCAGCCCCCTGGCCGTGATGAGAAGACATGTAGAATTACTGCCTGTGTGGCTGCATCCCTCCGTGCCCTAGCCACCTTCCACCTGACACATCCACCTGTCTGAGCTTTCTGTCTGACTTTCCTCTTGTAGCTTCCAACTTCCTGGGGCCTGGAACCTTCCCGGAATCCTTCCCATCGGCCACACCCACCACCCCAAACCTTGCTGAGTTCACCCAGGGGCCACCCCCACTCTCCTACCAGTCTGACATTCCCAGTAGCCTCCTGACTCCAGACAAGTCTGCTCCTTGCCTCCCAGGCCAGGTTAGTGCTGTGTACAGAGGCCCGTGGGCGGGAGTCTCCAAGGAGTCCTTGAACTATTCTAACAAGTTTTTTCTCCATCCTCAGATGGCACCAGCAGGCCACCTGGACCCAGCCCATAATCCTGGACCACCAGGACTGCACACTCCCAACCTCGGGCCCACCCCAAGCACCCAGCTACACCATCCAAACCCTTCCCCTGCATCCCGGCAGCCTCTGGGCCAACCAAACACAGGGCCCATCAGTGAACTGGCCTTCAATCCTGCCACGGGCATGATGGGGCCTCCCAGCATGACTGGGGCAGGGGAGGCCTCAGAACCAGCTCTGGATGTAAGTAACCAGTCCCGTGCTGGGGATCGGTCCCTGGGTCTACACACCTTGCTTCATGAAGGGATGACAGCGAACCTTCAGGAGAAATGCTACCCAGGGTCAGCTGTTCCACACAGGTTATACCTGGAATAGCTATAGGGTACCAGGTACCTGTGTGTGGTTAATGAGTGACCTGCCCTTAGAGGCTTTGCAGGCTGGGCATGTGAAGCTCACAGCACTGTCCTCAGAGCCCAACGTGACCTGGGCATTTATTCAGTTGTGCATCTTGATGACACAGGCAGTTTGTGAGCAGAAGCATAAGTGTGTGTGTTCACTGTCCTTGGTCCATAATAGAAACTCACTGAAGTTCCCCATGAGGAAGATGAGGAGCAGGCCAGAGCAGAAAGCCCCAGAGGCATGGAATCCTACCACCTGCCCTGGGCCCTGGAATTACACTGGAGATCCTTTCTCAGGCCTGTGCATCTCCAGTGCCACCTCCGGTTGTACTCACTGGTTCCTGGGAACCATGTCTCAAGCTATTGTCCTGTAGCAGCCTTCCATGGGGAGATACAGGCAGCTTCATACAGCCAGATAGCTTCTCTCAGGCACCCAGCATTTGGCAGGGGAAGGGCAATTTAGCATCCCCACTGGGCCTGGGGCCAGGACAGCATGGCCACTGGACATGAAGGGTCTGAGACCAAAGCAGCTAATGTGTTTGCTTTGTCCTCAGCTGCTCCCAGAACTGACCAATCCTGATGAGCTGCTCTCCTACCTGGGTCCACCTGACCTCCCCACGAACAGCAGTGATGACCTGCTCTCGCTCTTTGAGAACAACTGATCCTGTGTTAACCCCTGGTCTGCTGAAGACACACTCAAAGATAACACCACAGCCTTCCCTTCTCACCCAGCCCCACAGGATGCCTGCCGATTCCCCCTGAATCTCCCAATGCACACACCCTGAGCTGGGGCCTGCCACTGCCAGCCCCTGATAAACTGGAAGCAGCCCTGTGTTCCAAGGGGCCCCAGGCCAGTGGTCCTCACACCCGCCCTCCATCAAGCTCCCTGCTGCAGAATGGTTCTTGTGAGGCAGGCCCCGACAGCCCCATGTGCACAACCCTCTGCCCCAGACTCATGGCCTTGCACTTGTCCTTCACCCTGCCTGCTCCTACCCAGCCTGCATTGTCCAGCAATGATCCTTCTGTTTCTGCTGCTCCTCAGAAGAGCTGGCTGGCGAGGCTGGCTCTGTACCCTTGGTCTGCAGCTCCAGTGGCCTGAGCCTGGCAGCCTCAGAACCATACAGAGCACCAGCCTGTGGGGGCCTGGCGCTCCCACCCAGCTGAATCTGGTTCAGGGGTTCCTCCCTCCACCCTGAGCTTGAGGCTGAGGCTGGGGTGGGAGCAATAAAGCACAACAATGTACATAGTGTAGAAATGCCAACAGCGGGGAGGGAGGGACAGCTACTTACGTCAGCACGCTCCTCTGTGGACTGGCCTGCGCCTTCCATGTGGTGTCTGCCCTTACTGAGCACAGACAGCTCAGGGGGAGGTTCAACTCCTCTAGGGGTGGGCTTTCAGACTCAGCTCTATGTAAATTCTCCAGTGAGCTGCTCCCCCAAGTTTCTCTTTTCTGTGGAAGTGAAGAATTAGTACAGCTGTGTTTTTTAAACCACCTCATCTCCACCCTGCGGCCCACACCCAGGTGGGGGAAGCCATTGCATCTGCTGGCAAAGCGCCTGGGCCTGCAAGCAGGGTGCTGGCCTGTCGTGTCTCCTGTCTGTGCAATCTATTAAAGGACTCCCTCTTGGTGGGCCTGGCTGAGTCCTTCCTTTGTGCTGAGGGGCTGTGGCCTTCCTGTTCTTAGCACCCCAAATAAAAATCTAGATGTTTTCATCCAAGCTCAGGCTATCCCTGAGCTGTGGTAAATTTCCTTTACCCTGGAATTTTCCAAGTTGGCTTCAGCTGCAGAGCTATTTTGTAAAGTGTCTCAGGCTTGCCCTGGAGACATTTGCCACCATGTCACCTTCCCTGGGTGTGCCCTAGGGCAGGGAGCCAGCTATCTGTCAAGTGACTGCTGCACTGCCAGGGGCCTCAGCTGCAGTGGGGTGTGAGCCTGTGCTCACTACCCCTCTTGGCCTGGGCCCTGCCCAGACAGCATTTCCTGTATAGCAGGAAAGGTGAGAACCAGGGAGGGGTGAGGGGAATCCTCGGCCGGCTGCCAGAGCATTGCCTGCAGCTCTGGAGGAGGCTGCTGGGTAAGAGGAAGGAACCTGCAGAGGCTCTGTAGCTGTCTGACATTTGAGAACACACCGGCGACCCTCTCATTACCCTAAGGAGCCTGTTTCCAGCTTTTCTGTCCTCTTACTGAGAGTGGGGGAAGGGATAGAAGTGGAGAAAACAGCAGTGGGCCAGGGCTACAGGAATATAAGGACACCACAGCAATGCTGGCTACAGCCTCCGCTGGAGAAGGGGAGGAGGAGCTGGAGAGTTTAGGGTAGGGGGCAGGGTTAGAGGAGCCAGGATGCCAGCGTAGACTCTGTAACAGGTACTTGCAATGTTGAGAGAGACCAGCGGCACCACAGCCATTTGTCCTGAACAACTTTTGGACCTGACAACAGCCATCCAGAAGGTCCAACCTCAGAAGATGGACAAGCGATTGAAGAATAGCTGCCAGAGTCCCTGTGCACCGTCGTACATGAGTGTCAGAAAAGGTAGAAACTCAGTACACAGTTTTTAGGAAGCTCAAGGCTAATGAGCCACACAGAACTTAAACGCATTCCTTTTTAACAAAGCAGGGTAATGGACTTGTTCCCTGTGGAGACCCAGTGAGCACGGGTGGCTTCAGGGCTTTCTGCCTCATCGCACTTGCTTTGTCGCTATAATCTTACTATGTGCCAAATATTACATAACTTTAATAAAATTGGCTAGACCTGACATACAGAATACATGTTCTCAATACAACATGCCTCATGCCCCAGGATATATAGCATGTCTCGGGCAGTTAGACTGGAACCTGCTGTCTTTTTGCAGTGGAGTCCCAGCAGACAAGAAGGAAACAAATTTGGAAATCACATCTGGTTTTGAGATGAGACAGGCTCCCCTGAAGCTCAGGCTAGCCTCATCATCCTGCCTTGCCTGAGTGCTAGAATTTCCTGTGTACCCCACACCTATCTTTTAACAACTGATAGGTTAAAAAAAAAGTGTAGGCAAATGAAAACACAGTATATTCAACCTTAAAAAGAACCAGAGCAAGAAAGGTGTGAATAACCTTGTTGTGAGACGTCTCACTAAATCTGGCTGTCCTGGAACTTACTATGTAGACCAGGCTAGCCTCAAACTCAGAGATCTGCCTGCCTCTGCCTCCTGAGTGCTGGGATTTAAAGCATGCACAACCACCCACAACCACCCAGCTACAAACGTGTTAACTCTAAGGGTTCCCATGGCGCCACCTTCTGCCTTTTACAGGCACTGTGTGCGCGCACGCACACACACAAACACGTGCCTGCACACATGCACATACAAATAAAACCTTAAGAAAGTAAAAGTTTCTTTGACACCAAATTTAATAAGCCTTTAGCTAAACTGACTAGGAAAACAAGTGGTAGGAGAGGAGCCAGGTGTGTAGCTCAGATGCCCCAGGCTCTCTCCGTAGGACCAAAGGCTCTCTCCCCAGCACCACAGGCGGGCGGGAGAGAAAGAAAGGAAGAAAGGACAGAAAGATGCTCATACCAATCTCATGAAAAATAAAGTAAGAGAATAATTATGTTAAATCAGATAACAAAGTGGACCAATTGCCATGTAGAAACACAGATGACCAAGCCTACAGGACATAAACCCTCAGCAGACCTACAGGAAAATGATGGACGCAGTCATCAGACGCCTTCCCTTGCTTTCGGAAAAGCCCAAGTGTCAGATGTTGAATTATATGACAAGAAAGGGGCCATTGGACCTTCTGAGACTTCGGACCCTTAAAAAGGGGTGTAAAGGTACTGGGCTTTTTTTTTTTTTTTTAAGATTTATTTATTTCATTTATATGAGTACACTGTAGCTGTCTTCAGACACACCAGAAGAGGGCATCAAATCTCATTACAGATGGTTGTGAGCCACCATGTAGTTGCTGGGATTTGAACTCAGGACCTCTGGAAGAGCAGTCAGTGCTCTTAACCACTGAGCCATCTCTCCAGCCCCCAGGTACTGGGCTTTTCTATGCCCACCCTTACTCTGAATGACCTGGAAATCTGGTATATTTAGTATAAGCCTCTGGGCACTATAGCTGTGCTGGTCCTGAGCTAGTCTAACCCAACAATACTGGCCTGGCCTACTTCCCAGCCACATGGTGTTACCTGTCATCTTGGTCTCTTTCTGGCCTTCTTAACTCCTGTCAACTCCTGATCTTTCTCAAGGCACAAAAATACCACCTTATCTTCTCTTGCCCAGGTATAAGCCGATCAGCTCTACATTGACCAATCAGAAGGTGATGGAGAACAATCAATGCCCTACAAAATACTAAGTCTGCAGAGGCTTCATAATAATGACAATACCGCGTCCAGACTGCACCCAGAATTCTGGGTGCAGAAGTCAACATTTAAATGCACAGTGCACAAAAACATTCTCCATCACTGGGCGGTGGTGGCGCACGCCTTTAATCCCAGCACTTGGGAGGCAGAGGCAGGTGGATTTCTGAGTTTGAGGCCAGCCTGGTCTACAGAGTGAGTTCCAGGACAGAGAAACCCTGTCTCAAAGGAAAAAAAAAAAAAAACCCAACAAGAGGGAACTTGTCAATATGCATGGTACCTTTCCCACTGCCCCCATTCCCTCCCTGATCCAACCCTCTCAGTCCTCAACCACTCTAGGTCTTCTTTGTTCTAAGAAGTCAAGACAATGTTAGCACCATTTTCTGTCCCATCTTCTCCCAACCCCCACCACCCTTTACCTTTTGTCTCAAAGGTTATTGGTCACTTGCCCTGTGGTTTGCTTTTGTTTTAACTGTCATAAAGAACATACAGAAGTGATATGCTGTTGAGGTTTGATGGGTGAACTTTGGTGTACCTAATGGCCCAGACCACAGAGATGCCCATGACCCCTAAATCTGTCCAGCTTTGAACTTTATGTAAGTGAATGTTAGGGTTTGGTCTTCTTTGTTAATTGACTTTGTTTTTTTGAGACAGGTTCTGTGTAACCTTGGCTGTCCGGAAACTTACTCTGTAGAGAAGGCTGACCTCAAACTCACAGAGATCTTCCTGCCTCTACCTCCCAAGTCCTGGGACTAAAGGCGTGGGGCCCAAGAGAATTAATGAGTCTCCTTCCTTTCCTTTCCACACTACACCTCCTCCCTGGCTGGGCATTCCCTGCTGAAGGTTTTCATTGTGTGTTAGCCAGATCCTTTTGGGGAAGAATTTGAGCCAGTTTAAGAAAGGAAGAACTCAAAATAGTATTCCAAGATTCACCAGGGCCTGAGGCACAGCTGTATGGGGATGGGGGCTGAGAGGGTTGGGGTGGTGCTGGTGCTGGGGGTGGGGAGGTTGACTGTGGCTCCCTGCGAGCTTGTTCTCAGCCAGCTGCTTCTGTGCAGTTGTTCCTGCAGAGCCTCAGCCCAGTTCAGCCACCCCACACAGGCCTAATGGCTGTGCCTTCTGACGCCAGGGATGGCTCCGGTTGGTTCCCATGTGGTTCCACCTACAACTAGGCTGAGGTGGAGAGCCCTCTCCAAAATCAGAGGGACAGTCAGAGGAGAGCCTGTAGGATAGTATCTTCTCACAGATCTCAGGCCTAATTCCTGGGCCCTGTCCATGAGGAGCTTGCCAGGCCACATCCCTGCTTTCTCAGATTCTAGCCTCCTCTGGCTTTGTCTGACCCACGTCTGGAGTGGGGGGTGGGGAGAGCTTATAGCTCTAGAACAAATGGGACTTTCTGCAGCCTGGACTCACTCTGTGAAGGGCCTTCCCCTTCTCTAGTCCTGATCACAGATGACCAAGTAAATGGAATTTTCATCCCCTCCCCCTTTTTTCTTTTTCTTTTCTTTATTTCTTTTCTTCTTCTTTTTTTGTTTTTTAGGTCAGGGTCCCACTATGTAGCCTTGGCTCACCTGGAACTTGCTGTAAGGACCATGGTGGTGAACTCAGAGACTGGTCTCTTTTTGCCTCTTGAGTGCTGAGTGCTGAGATTAAAGGCTGTGGTGCCACCATGCCCAGCCCCAAATTCTTTATCTTAAAAAGGCATCACTTTTACAAAACTAAAAAAAAAAAAAAAAAAAAAAAGTACAAGTACTTACATGACCTTGAGACTTGGCAAGCCGCCCTGTGACTGTGTAGCTCAGCTTTCTTTCAGTGTATCTGTAGTTTTGTACTTTACCTGTTACCAGCTTAGGAATGTTGGTTCCAGATATCTTTAGATACTTTAGAAAGAATCCTAGAAAGTAAGTGTTCTCATGTGGACCAGCCAGAGTAAAAGTGTTTGCTCACAGGCGTGACACCCTGAGCCCACAGTGAAAGGCGAGAACCAATCTCACCAGGTTGTCCTCTGACCTCCACATGTGTGTTCCATAGGTGCAGCACTTATACCCCACACATCAGACACACAAGTCATACACAATATACAATAATGCATATTTTTTTTAAAAAAGGTTCTCATGTGGTCACAGAACACATTTGCCAGAGGACATTACCAACAGCTCTCCAGCAGCATTGACTCATGCAGTGTAACTACCCGTTCCAGCCCGAAATCCAATCAAGGCTCACGGTTTACATCTGACTGTCAGATACAGTCTGACTTTTAGTGTTTTTTTAACCTACAATAATCTCTTTAAAAATTCTTTTTTTTTTTTCTTTTTTTGTTTTTTCGAGACAGAGTTTCTCTGTATAGCCCTGGCTGTCCTGGAACTCACTCTGTAGACC